ACAGATGGCAAACAGAAAACAATTTGTTTGGCAATCCAGGACACATCCCAAAGCTCAGCTCTGCTCCTGCTGGGAGCTGCCATGCCAGGGGAAGGGCAGAAAAGAAGAGTTTCTCACCTCCTGTAAGATATTAATTCATAGAGAATTCTCCAAGCTTAACAGAAGGCTGACATAGAGTGCATCTGTATGGAAACTTTGAGATGAGAAAGGCTGACTTAGAAATGCTATAGGGTAAGACAAAGATTGTTAATAGAAAAATAGAACTAAAAACAAGTTTCAAAGGCTGGCTTTGCAAATTAAACTAATTAAACTAAATACTTTGGAGAACTATGAAAGCTGTATTGTAGTAGGACCCACAGGGGTAATTTTAGATTATTGGCTTTAAGGCATTTACAGCATGGTGTGGCAAAGGCTGATAGGCCAAGAAACACTTAAGAGTGTATTGTAATTAGGAAATAGTTGTCTTCTGATTGTGATGGTGTGAATTACAGCATCTCTATTGTCTCACCCTTCTCATGAGACTGAAAATGGAATAAAAGTTTTGAAATGTTTCTCAGTTGCTCTGGGTCAGAAAAGGGCCTAATCCAACAACCTCCCAGCGGGACTGGGCACCCCAGACCCAGAGTTGTGCCCATTCCTGTGGGTTTTGCATCCCTGGGCATCTGTGTGCCAGAGCAGGGTGCCAGGGGTTTGGCTTTGCCTGGAAAAGCACTCCTACTGCATTAAAAATTAACTAGTGCATTAAAACGTGCTCTGACAAAGTTATTATTGCATTAAAAAGTTCTCTGACAAAGTTATTAGTGCACTGAAAAGTGCTCTGCAGGTCGGGACCTCTCTTTTGAGAGCAGCACAAGGCTTTTCCCAAACCTCTCCTCACATCCCCGTGCTCAGCAGCATCTGTCACAGAGCAGATGTCCCTGCAAACAGAGCCAGGTCACCTAGCTTGGGCTCTGCCCTCCCTCCCTCATTTTTCTGTTGGTTTAGATCATCATTTTGGCATTCTATTCTATTCTATTCTATTCTATTCTATTCTATTCTATTCTATTCTATTCTGTTCTGTTCTGTTCTAGTTCTATTCCAGTTCTATTTTTCTCTATTTCCTTGCTGTTCCCCATTCCCCCTGTGCTCCATCTCCTGTCCCACCAAGGGCTGCTGCAGCCCATGAGGAATTTGGGGTTTGGGAAGCCCAGGGAAGCTGACAGAGCTGCAGAGGGGCTGTGACACAGGGAGGTTCAGGGGGACACTGAGCCTGGCCTGGGCCTTCAGCCACCAGCCAGCTGCAGCTCTGGCACTGCTCTTCCCCCTCCACAGCTGGAATTGCTGGCCCAGGAGCTGTCTGCACAGCCCAGGGTGTCTCAGGGGACAGGGACAGGCAGGATTTTGGCCACACTGTTCTCTGTCACCTCAAGGAGCATCCTCAGCTGATGGTGCTGGTGGCATGAGGAGCTGCCCGTGCTCTCTCTTCCTCAGCCAGGCTGTTCATCTGAAATGTCAGGAATATTTTTGGATAGCAAACCCAGGGAGGGCTGGATTGCTGTTTCACACCCTTGTGTTCCTGCCCTCCCTTCCTGCAATTTAGCCCAGAGGGTTATTTTTAATTAATAAGAGCAAATCTGCTGCTGGTTCAGCCGCCCACCCTCCTCTTATCAAATCCCTCCTCCTCCTCTTCCTCCCAGCTCAGCCTGGCTGTGGAAATCAGCTGTTGGTTTTGTAGGCTTGCAGAAGGTTGGGTTTGCATCCCAAATCTGTGTCACAGCACCAGGGGAGGGAGGGCAACACCTGAGGCCTCCATAAAGAGCAATCCCAAAGCATCCCACACCCTCTGCCAGCCTGGAGGATGCAGCCCAGGAGGTGGGGGGAGTCACAGAGGGGGAATGCTGGGCAAATCCAGCTTTTTCCCAGGCATCCTTGGCTCCTCCATGTCTGCTTCCAGTGGCTCTTGTCACTTTGGGCAGTGAGGATGAGGATGGTGGATGAGCAGCTCTTTGGGAGAGGTGTCCCTGTCACTCTTCCTGTGCTTTTCAGAGAAGGAGTGTGCTGTGGGATGCATGTGGAGATGCCCAAACACAGCAGGAAAATCCCTGGCACTCCTTTCTGTCCCCAGTGCAGCTGATGGCAGCCAAAGGGGGTGCTCAGCCCCCCAGTTTTGTTGCAGTGGATTTATTGAAGGGAAAAGCAGGACTGTAGATAAATCCAGAACCTGTGGGAGGATTGTCCCAGCTTTGGGACTGGCTGCATGAAAGGGCCAGGCAGCTCAAAAAGACATTGTGCTACCATAATTCCCCAAAATTAATTAGAAAATGGGAATAAAGCAGAAAAGCTTCACCAGGCTGGCAGGGGGGAGGAATTTAGAGGGAGAAAAATCCTTTCTGCTGCCTCCCCACCCAGGCGGGAACTGCACCCTGCATCCCCCGGGGTCGCACTAATTGCACTAATTGGTGATTAGTGTCGTCCCCAGTGCCGGCGCCGCCGATCCTGCAGCTGGAGGAGTGCTGCACCCACAACAACAGCGCCACGCTGTCCTGGAAGCAGCCGCCGCTGTCCACCGTGCAGGTGGAGGGATACATCCTGGAGCTGGACGATGGCAACGGTGGCCAGTTCAGGGTACGTGTCTGGGACGGGGCTCTGTCCCCAGGGACTCCTGAGACAGGATTTGGGGATGTTCTGTCTCCAGGGATTCCTGAGACAGGATTTGGGGGATGTTCTGCCTCCAGGGATTCCCTGCCACAAGATTTGGGGGGATGTTCTGTCTCCAGGGATTCCTTGCTATGGGATTTGGGGGATGTTCTGCCTCCAGGGATTCCTGAGACAGTGTTTGGGGATGTTCTGCCCCCAAGGATTCCCTTTCGCAGGATTTGGGGGATGTTCTGTCTCCAGGGATTCCTTGCTATGGGATTTGGAGGATGTTCTGTCTCCAGGGATTGCCTGAGACAGGATTTGGGGGATGTTCTGTCTCTAGGGATTCCCTTTCACAGGATTTGGGGGGATGTTCTGCCCCCAGGGATTCCTGAGACAGGATTTGGGGGATGTTCTTTCTCCAGGGATTCCTTGCCATGGGATCTGGGGGATGTTCTGTCTCTAGGGATTCCCTTTCACAGGATTTGGGGGATGTTCTGCCCCCAGGGATTCCTGAGACAGGATTTGGGGGAAGTTCTGCCTCCAGGGATTCCCTTTCACAGGATTTGGGGGAAGTTCTGCCTCCAGGGATTCCCTTTCACAGGATTTGGGGGATGTTCTGTCTCCAGGGACTCCTGAGACAGTATTTGGGGATGTTCTGTTTCCAGGGACTCCTGAGACAGTATTTGGGGATGTTCTGCCTCTAGGGATTCTCTGACACAGGATTTGGGGGATGTTCTGCTTCCAGGGATTCCCTTTCACAGGATTTGAGGGGTTCTGCCTCCAGGGATTCCCTGCCACAAGCTTTATCCTCATATTATTTTTTTAGGTCGTGCCTTCCCTG